TTTTGTTTCTTTCTTTTATTTTTTTTTAAATTCCTTAAACTTGCAATTTCTTTTTCTTTATTCATTTTCTTCTCTGACATTTTTTCTTTCTTTTTTTTTAACTTTCCTCTGAAAAGGAAAAAAATTGATTCAGAAAAAGCTAAGGTTTACTTTTAACATTATTTTTACTTCACGTTTTCATCTTTTTTATATTTTATATTCAAACTCTTTTTCTCCTTGATTTTATAACATTTGCGTTCTTCTTTAAATTTTCTTTTTTTCGTTTTCTCTTTGCAAAAAAAATAATATTTACTTTCTCGTTTGTTTCCTTTTGAAACATTTTTTCGGACATTTTAGGCTAAAGCCACATTTAAAAACCCATTTTAACCTTTTTTCTCTCTAAATTTCCTTTTTTAATTTTATTTAAACTTTTTACTTTTGTTCATCTTTTTTTTTTTTATTTATTCAGTTTATTATTAAGTCTCATTTTTATTCTTTTTCGTTTTAATTCACGTCTTTCAAATTTTTTCCTTTGGTCCATTTTTAAAACATTTTTTGTTATACTCTGCAAAAAAAATGTTTTCAATGACAAGCATCTTTTTATTTTTAACCATTTTAACATTTCTAAAAAAAAATTGAAATTCATCTTTTCTTTCATTTTATTTAAAATCGTTTTCTATTCATATATCATCCTTTTCTCTTTTCAAATTCTTTTAAATAACATACAATCAAAAAGCTTTAAATAAATGTTATTCATACAGCATCTTTATTTTTAACCTAAAAGGACGTATGTTTCCTTTTATAACATACAATTTCCTTAAATTTTCATTTCGTCCTCATTTTCCTGGACTGTTGTACACTCCGGCCTTCTTCGGGTAATTGTAATTTCGAAACGAACCCATCATTTCGTCCACCGACGTAACTGACCACTGTAACGTACCTGCCCATTTACGTAGAACGAAAACAATTTATTCCGCTGGACGGAACGAGCCCATCATTTGGTCCACCGGAATAAATTGTTCTAGTTCCATGAAACGAGACCAGAGGACACATGGCCCTGTGGATGAAAACGTTGATTGAAATAACCTAGTAACTTGACCCAAATACTTGTGAGTTCAATTACTGGCCAAGGAAGATATGAATAAAGACTTGGAGAGTTGAGTTGCTTAAAGGAAATAACTGAAGCGGAAACTGAGATATCCGGAAGAGGCATGACATGGGGAACTAGAACAATCTACCCTGGTGGACGAAATAAAGTTGGTTCGGTTCGAAATTCCAATCACCTGAAAAAAGCTGAAGTATACAGTGGCCAGAATATGACAACAAAGATGAGGACAACAGTCCGAACTATGAAAATAGTTACAATACCTCATCTCAGAAATATAGACAGATCCTGAAAAAGGCCAGAGCGTAAAATGGCCGAAACATAGAAAATATGACAATAAAAATGAGGACAATAGTCCAAAAAATGTAAATAGTGTAAATAGTTACAATACCTCATCAAATAAATATAGACAGCTCATGAAGTACAACGGTCGACACGTCGTGAATATGACAATAAAGATGAAGATAACAGCGTGACACTATTTAGCTATGGCAACTGACTAACTAATTAACCATAGAAATTAAAAACGGAAAATACTTAAGGCGAGAAAGAGCTATACCGAAAGATAGACTGAGTGACATTAAAAAGAAGAATTTATTTTATTTACAAAAGAAAGATACGTTTCGTAAAAAACCGAAAATCAGTAAGAAGGAGCGAGACTGTGATTCTGTTAAATTAATTAATGTCGCAATAAGGAAGTGACGCGCCAAACTAAACAGAATTCAGAAAAAAAAAGTTGGTTGCCGACCGACGAAAAAATGCGACCCTGGAGGGAGATTTGGCTTGGGACCACCCATTAATTATCTTTCAGAGATATCATTTAATTTTGGTTCTTGGATCCAGCGAAGAGACCCAACTGGAGTATGTACGAATCTTGGCATGAGAAAGGAAATCGCGGATGTAAGATTTATTACTTTTTTCAAAAACACGACCGCAGGAAAAAGCATTGGTGAAAGAAATTTGGGATGTGATAAAGAATGAATTGGCAATCTGGGATTTGTAAATGTTTTGGCCGAAAGAAAAGGAAAAAGAAAAAAATGATTTTGTTAACAAAATTTTCGATAATAATTCTAAGAGGGCCAGTCTAGCCACGCCCCACTATCAAGAGATCATTGGCTAACTGACAGCATGGGTGATAGGCGGAGGTAAATGTATGAGAAAGACGGAAAAGTTAACACCCACTGAGGGGACTGGTATGAGATACCAATGGGAGAGAGGAAGATTCTTGGAGGATAACTCTCCGACTTTCCCTCACGGACGAGGGAGAAACCCCCGAAATGAAAATGATTAGTCTTCCGAAAATGGGAAGTAATTCATTTTTCTGGCCTAAGAACGAAGAGAATTCTTATTGGAATTGTCAAAGAAATCAAACCTCGTCAGGCCCCAGCCCGGAGTTGGTCGGTATCCATATAAAAAAAAAAAAAAAAAAAAAAACGTCTTGAGTCAGCTGATCAGAGTTTCGGCAGAGTTTTCGCAGTGCCAGAAACGGTCGGAGTTACAGAGTCAGAGTGTTGCCTCGTAGAAGCTGACCGAGAGATTTCAACGTCTTTTTCAACTTAGTCTTCCTACCAAAAGCAAGTTTTTATTGACGAACGACTTAAGATACCATAACTCGCTTAAGAAACGCAAAAAGTGTCACGAATCCATAGAAACGGGCCGGAAGAGAAACACACTCCTGTATTCAATAGATAGATAAAGTTAATCGTCATTTCTCAACATATTTGAACCTGATGAGTTTGTTTTGTTATTTTTCTTTTACTTACGCTTGTGCGGTATCACCATTACCCCGGATTCAGCTTGCACTACGGCTCGACGCCTGATTGATTTCGTCTACCTAAGATCAAAGTCACAACGTGGGTAGGTTAGACTTGAGATCAAATGAGTTACTTCGGTGACCAAGCGTTGGAGGCGAGCTGAGAACGACAAAGCTGGTATCGAACCGGAAACGACCAGATCGACCGGGACTCCAAAACGCTGGTGGAAGAAACCTTACAGCTTCGCGCTGCAACTAGGAGTTGACTACGGGCCGACGGCGCAGTGTCATATATTGACGTCTTGATCAGTGGACGTCCCAGATTGGTGCTGGCGCTGAGACCGCGACTACCGGTGGGTGCTACGTATTGGTGCCGTGACCAGGATTGACCGGTCAATGTGACAACAGTCCGAAATATGTAAATTGTGTAAATAGTTACATTACATCATCTCAGAAATATAGACAGATCCTGAAGAAGGCCAGAGCGTAAAATAGCAGAAACATAGTGAATATGGCAATAAAGGGGATGACAACAGTCCAAATAATGTAAATCGTGTAAATAGTTACAATACCTCATTTCAGAAATATAGACAGATCATGAAGAAGTCCGGTCGACACGTCGTGAACATGGCAACAAAGATGAGGACAACAGTCCGAACAATGTAAGTAGCGTAAATAGTTACAATAGCTTATCTCAGAAATATAGACAGACGTGTTTCAGCAGACATTCTTGTTTTGAAACAGTAACTGGCGTCTAACAAGGTGCTGTGTTATGAACTGTATTTTCCTTCATATATCCGAGGTCCAATGGCAGAACACAAGTACACATCAAGTGCTCCAGCCCAGCTTCAATCTTCAGCTGAGCACCGTGCTTCAGCAAAGCTTCGCTCCATTAAGCTCCGTACCTCTCCACACGGTGGGCCCGCAACAGCTGGATGATGTTACGTTGCAACCGGTCCAGTGGTAGTCGTTTAACTCGCATACCGAAAGCTGTGTATTTTTCACGGCGTCGATGTCTCTGCCGAATGTCAGTTTAAAATGCAGCCCCTCAGAGTCCCTCTATTTTGGAGACTCTTCTGGTCCAAACAATAACCTCTCTAACACTCCAGAAGGAGAGGTACTCCCTGATGGGGATGGCCTCCTGGGGCTTGAGCGAATATTATTGCCAGAGTAGCGAAACACCCTCCCGTTCGTTACACGATACTCGCATACCGAGAGCTGCCCTGACCTTACTGCTTGGGAATTTATATAGTTTATGCCTTAGATATGCTAATGAGGTAGCCATTAATATATCACTACACTGAGAAACGGAAGAAATTGTTAGAAACGAAGAAAAGAGTACTGGATTGCTATGATGAACAGTAATGATTGCTAAATGGTTATATAATATCAATCCTCTAATATGACAGGGAATGCTAAATAAACTGCCCTCGGATAAGTTAAAAACTAAAGGCAGCGGAAATGTAGTTCTACAGAAGGATACTGAGAATTCCGCAGACGGAACGAGCAAGCAACAGGGAATTGTTAACGAAAATGGTAACAGAAAGAACACTTTTACTCAAAATCAGGAAAAGAACAGCTGAAAATCATTGTAAATATAATGAGGACGAAAGGCTTGGAAAACTTAAGCCTCACGTGGCATATTAAGGGTAAGATAGATAGAAGACAGCCAACCTACTTACATGGCAATCTTATGCAAATGGATGCTGGAACAGGGGGCTTGAGTATTAGTCTTTGCAAAGGGAGACAATCTGCTACGAACCACACGAGGAGGTTGTGGAGAGCCAATATCGCTTATTTTCTGATGGGACGCGGCACATCGAAGAACAACAATAACTGACGTCCCTGCGTACGGTCAAATCCCGCTAACACAACACTTTCACCACTGAAGTTAAGCAGTGTCGAAATCAGTCAGTACTTAGACAGGACTCACTTCTTGTAGCATGCTTCGCTGGTAGCTATAATCTTCAAATATTTAAGTGTAATGTCAGTCGATATCTTCTGATACTTTGATCTTGTTCCCCACCCTCTCTTTCTCCTCTTCCCAGACACGCCTCTTTACACTTGTTCTCTATCCTCTGTAACCCCTTGGGTGCTAGGGGCACTTCCACATTTCTTGGGGTGAAATACTTAAAAAAAATAGAAATTAATACAATATTGGAATCAATAACCCGGACTAGTAGTGAAAAGCAATAATAACAACATTGCAATATGAACTCTGGTAAAAAATGATACTGAGACATTAGGTTTATAAATCATAAAAATTCATAGACTG